TTTCCCATACACCACCTCAGAAGCTGCAAGCTGCAATGTTGCCCTCAACTTGAAAGTTACACTTCTGTTCAAATCATTTCAGAGGTTACGATGTTGACAAAGTAGAAAACTTCATCGCTCCCCCCCTCCGCTACCACTTCATCATTTGAAGATATATACAAATAGTCAAAACTTCACTTTACTGTCCTAAGGAAATAGAAATAGACACAGAATATGTGCTTTATTCATTCAAATATCCTCTTTGATGGAAACCCCTCACAAGTATCAAGACAGTGGGAAAAAAAACGACCAAAACTTTCCTTAGAAGATTTGAAACTAATTTCAGGACCTAATATTTAAAAGTGATTGAACTGGGATTTTCTTTGTATGTCAAACAATATAAATTAACAACTAGCACAGAGGAAATTAATTTAATTTAATTTAATGATTCTCTAGAGCTATTTCCTACACTGAAACTGTCATTCAAACACAATAAAGAGATTACAGATGAAACCAAGTTTATTTGCAGATATGAGCTTTCATTCTTTCTTTGTGGTGAGAATTATTAAGAACCTTGTTTTATCATCTTATGTCTAGTCAAAGCAATCATTTCACTAGTGTCAAAACTGTTCTCATTACAAACTGCTGCAGATTCCCTTGTAGTAGTATGTTAGAGCAGCAGGACTAGAAACATTTTAAGTAATCATCCTATAAAATTGTTCCCATTCAATGATTACGTAAATTAAACAAGATATTTTATCCTACAGATACGAAATGCTAATGTGTTTTTTTTCAGTTTCTTGACTGGCAAGCTCAAGACAACATCCTTTGCTCTAAGAAGCTCATGATTTAAGGCAATACTTCTTAAATGTATATCATTGCCTCTTAAAAATACCATTTTAGGTAGCAAAGCTCCTTGTTCAAACATTACATTTCATTGTGACAGAGAAGACAATTAGGGTGGTGTTCAGTACACCCGTCTAAATCTTCCACAGAAGAAAGATCATGCACTTTTAAAAATACAAACAAAAGAAACAAAACTAAAACCTAAAAACTAACAACCCCTCAAAAAAAAAAAATCCTACAACGGTTCTTACAGTTTTAAATGAAACGAGGGAGGAAGAAAAAGCAAGCACTTCCCATGTCCACACTTTCTCTTCTCCCAATGCCAGCCCATGTTTTATTCTGAAACACTTTCCTATGTATTGCACGCCTAAGTTTATTGTCTTCCTACTAGCCACATTTTTTTCTCTATCTTAGTATTAGTTTACATTAACTCCAAATATGAAAAGAGTCATTGATGGGACAATAATATACTAAATTTGTATAAAACAACATTAGAAGCTTCATAGAGTTTTACAGATTTATATAAGGAGGTATAGAACTTGATCTTACTCATGTTCGTTCAAATAACTAACCTGCGTGACCCGTCCCACTGATGTGAAATTTTAAAAATGGTGATGGAAATGTGCTCACGTTATTAAAGAACAAAAAATTAAACACAAAAAAAAAAAAACAAACCAAAAACTTGCTCCATCCACCACATTAACTAAAAGCTCCCAAGCAATCATTTTTAAGTGAGCTTCAATTTAGTTGAAGTATTTTCAGTCTCTGAACAAACACATTAAATCAATTATAAATTTCTTCTTCAGGAAGAGGAGTTTCAGTGAACTATTATAACCAAAGCATTACTAGCACTATAGCAGAGGAGGCTATTCTGATGTGCTCAGTGTTGCCTTTAGCCAGTTACCTGATCTTTCTGATTCAGTTACTCCATCTGCATCAAGACAGCAACTCCTACATGGCATCAGGAAGTCAAATGATGATACTAAATTAGGAGGAGCTGTGGACCCTCTTGAGGGTAGAGAGGCCTTATAGAGAGATTTGGATAGACTGGAGCTGGGCAATCACCAACTGTATGAAATTTAACAAGAGCAAGTGCCAGATTCTGCTCCTGGGATGGGGTAATCCTGGTTACACAAACAAAGTGGGGAACAAACAGCTGGAGAGCAGCCGTGCAGAAAGAGATCTGGGGGTTTGCACTGATGATGAGTTGAATATAAGTCAGCCCTGGCAGCCAAAAAGGACAACCATGTCCTGGGGTGCATCAAGCACAGAACAACTAGCAGGTCAGGGAAAGGGACTGTCCCACTCTACACTGCACTGGTGCGGCGCCAGGGTGAGTGCTGGGTGCAGTTTTGGGTGCCTCAATTTATACACAAGGACATCAAAGTATTAGAGTGTGTCCAGAGAAGGACAACCAAGATGATGAAAGGTCTTAAAGGCAAGACTTATGAGGAGCGGCTGAGGTCACTTGGTTTGTTCAGCCTGGAGAAGAGAGGGCTGAGGGGTGACCTCATCGCAGTCTACAACTTCCTCAAGGGGGACAGTGGGGGTGGAGGTGCTGATACCCTGTCTCTGGTGACCAGCAACAGGACACAAGCAAATGGAATGAAGCTGCAACAGGGGAAGTTCAGATTGCACATTAGGAGAAGGTTCTCCACTGAGAGGGTGGTCAGTCACTGAACAGGCTCCCCAGGGAGGTGGTCACAGCACCAAGACTGTCAGAGTTCAGGGAGTGTCTGGACAATGCTCTTAGTCATGTGGTTTAGTTTTAAGTAGTTGTCCTAGATTAAAGTGTAAGATGTGCCCAAAAAGTATTCTATT